GAGTATCAGGAAGGAGTTGAGTTCAGTGATCGCATCTTCTTCTGAACCTGGGCTATGTGAACCTAAGAAAGAATCCTAGGTATTCAGTTAGACTTTTAGAATCTGCAGAAACACCTGCTACTTCATCCTGCCAGGGTTGCTGCGTCTGGTCATGTTTGAGAGCCTGTGAGACAGTGGTGGCAGATGACTTTGCAGGTTTGTGTGTCGAATATAGGTGTTGCCCAATTGGATTGGTGCACGTATCGAGAATGTGGTGTCCCTGCGTCTAACGTTGCTGGCGCACAGACAGCTGCGACTCTGTGGACGCAAGTGCGTCTGAATTGAAGTCAATAGAAGAGTTGCAGATCAGCGCTTCTGAAACTACCCACCGCGAAGGCGAATGACTTTGACGCAAGCGGGTTTTGAACAAGGACGCCAGGCTGTGAGCAGCGATCTCATGTGTGAGCTGAGGCTATAGGAGAAATATTCAAATTGTGCTTGGTCTCTCTATGATGGCTTTCAGATAATTCATAACTGGAAACCTAGCAGAATTTTCTTTCAAGAAAATGGTGGTATTATTTAGATTTGATACGCCCCCACATTTACTAACTTGACACGAGCTTCTGAGAAATCGCAGATGGCAGACACTCGAGCCTGTCCTACACTGCACTATGTAACAGAAAAGAAAACAGTTACTTATGTAAGTACTCACGGCAAAGACATGTGATATATGTGCATAGCCATTTCAAAAACAAATGAAGGTGAGGGGATATTTTCCATACTCCAAACCGAACTCATTTGGGCCTGACTCAGAAAGGGTAGATTTATTTGTTGAGGACGAAGGGAACCCTACTGGAACTGGGTATTGTAATTTATTCAAATTGATCTTTGCTCCATGGTCCTAGGGTCGTTCCCCTAGAAATGTAACCCAGAGCATCTTTTCCGATTGCAAGTGCAAATATATGATCGAACTTTTGTTGATTCAGGTGAAACCTGTCACTTTGAAACGTCTTCAAGAAGCGACAGTCATTATAAAGATTATTCCAGTTTTGTCAGATTGCCTGAGTGTAACAGTGACGATTGGCGGCCAATCTTAAAGACATAGTCGAAATCCAAGGCACAAAATAGCGATTTAGGTCGCGGATTGGGGTCGAATCCGTATCGCCCCTATCATATGCCAATCATTTGACCTAGCGTTGCAATCAAAGAAGTCAAATAATACTACAGGGTATTGTTCGTCTGTTTCTAACCCAAACTCTCAAGTTAAAAAAGGCATTCGAGTAAGAAAACCTGTTGAGATACTGGCGTCTATGATCCATGACTATAAGGTGGCTAGTATTCTTCCTAAATTCGCAGCTTTCCAGACTCACCAAACAATAGGGCTCAATCGAATTATAACCAGTTTTGCAAAACCGTTTCGTCTATTTTCCCATAAAGGGTTCCCTTATACGATAATTATCATTCTCAAAATCCAATTTTTGTGTCTTCTACTTTTTTCGCCCACCGGAAGTAGCATCTCCCCCTGAACCCACCAGAATATGTTTCAACTCTTCAGTTTAACTGTCATCTATTGTTTCTTCCCGTTTTATAAGCATTACTGAGTGTAGCCTGTGTTTGAGAAGTACGCTCGTCGCAGTTTCTCTCGAGATCAGCCAGGGAAAAGATAGAATTAAGACATAATCACACTTTTATCCTTCTGCTACTCGAATATTGCTGTCCATTATGTAATTTAATGGAAACGACTAGACGTTCTTAAATTAAAATTGACAAAGGCACTTTATTAGAATACCCCTAAATACGACAAATCCAAATA